ATCTCAAGGAATTTATAATTTATTAAGACAAATATGCCCCCAAAGTTGATCCTTGCCTTGGAAGGATTCCCTCTACTTGGAAATCTCTTTCCTCCAAAGCTATGCCTGGCTGGGTCCTTTCCATCACTCAGTCCTTGACTCCAATGTCACCTCTGCAGAGATTCGAACTCAGACCACCTTATGTAAGGAATAGTCCCCACCCCATACATCCCAAGCCATTCTGTATCCATTATCCTGCTTTATTCCTTCATTGCACTGAACTTCTGCTTATGTATTTATTTATCACTGGTATTTATTTATCACTGGTATCACCAGGTACTGCAGCCTATGCCATTACCTTCTTCCCCTGCCTCAGTAGAATAGAGCCACCAATGCTCTGGAGTCCTCATGGTGCCAAAGCTGACAAGGGACTCATGGAGACAATGAGGATGAATGAATCTATCACCAATGTTGTGAGAACTTGGTGACTCTCAGGTGCTGCTTTTTGCAAATGTGTAACAGCAATAGTGATACCAATATGAAGGTATCACTGTAATGACTAAATTATGGATTTGTACAAAGTCTCTAGGACAATTACAGCACACACTGAGGTCTTAATTAATGTTAGCCCCAAGAAACCCTTCTGGGGAAAAGTAGTGTGAGCACAGCAATTAATTTGTAATTAGTGGATATTTATTAATTGATAAACTACCTATCATTTCTGTGAATGAAGAACTTGCAGAGTTAATGGAACCTGCTGTGGAGATTTTAGGAGAGAGCTTTTTGTACATTTACTTATCACCTCTGCCTGTGTGAGTTCCAAAGAACTTAGACATGAATGCAACAAAACTAGGCTAAGAAATAAATGCGAAAGCCAGGAACCATGTCATGGTCAGAATAATCCTTCCCCTCTGACCAGTGAGTTCTTACACTGAGCCTTGGATCTACCCATGTTGGGTTCTTCCTTCCTGCAGGATGCCACAGTCAGGGTGGCCGGGCCAGGAGAACACCTTTGCTGGAGAACCTCTATCCCAACATAGTTCCCCAGACCTGAGCAGATGTGTCCAAATGCCAACTGTTTTTATTTGTTGAGCTTTTGGCCAGGAAGTTACTTCTTAGCAGTCACAAAAATTATCGAACTGGTGCCACAACAGGGCCAGTTGAAATTCAGCACATCTGAAATCTAGCAGAGGATATGACTTAAACTCATGCAGAAAGACCCATTTCAAAAACTCTGGTGTGTGGTGAAAGGGAGATGACAGCTAACTGGGGTAGGCTTCTCGTGTGTCCTGAAGGAGACAGGCTACAAGCTGAGAAGGGAACCACAATTAGCGTGAGTTGAGTCCCTCTTGGGAGCCCAGAATAGAACTACCCGAGGCACCAGTATAAACAGGTGGTAAACTACAATAAATCAGAAATGTTGGTGCTAATTAACCTAGGTCTCCACTCATATAATTTGTAAAACAAAACAAAACAAAATGCATTCATTTTGATCCACTGCAGGAGACATAACTGTCAACTAAAGAATTTATAAGAACAAACACACCCTTCCTTGGTCCTGTCTTTTGTGTTTGGTGGGGTATATGTATGCGTGTGTGAGTTGCCTGGCACAACCCCAAGCCTTGACACTGGCCCAAGACCAGCTGTCTAACAGGATCCAGAACTTAGTAGTCACTACAAGTCAAAAAGATGAAACCAAAGGTTAAGTGGTGTCAGGATGTTTACCCAGAACCAGGGATTTTTATCTTTTATCACCTAAATTTGTCTTGCTCAAAAGATCACAAAAGAAAACTGAGAAAGCCAAAACAGCAGGAAAGTGATGAGGTTAGGTAAGGTTTTGCCGTCTTCTATTTCTCTCCCCGGCACACTGCCTCAGCTTTAGAGAGAGGAAGTGAATGAATTAAGAATCAAATCTGTTTCTGCACGAAATGTTTATTCATAAGAAATCAGTTTCTCTGAGGGAAACTGGGTGATATGTGCTACATGGGACCTCTCAGTATGTTTTTTTTTTCTTTCTTGTGAGTCTATAATTATTTCAAAATTAAAAGGTTAAAAATAATAAAATGATATTTAAAGTGCAGATAAAAATGTCAGTGTTTCCTCATGTGCACTAAATTCACAGTAGAAGTTGAAAAAAATGTTAAAGCTCTCCTGTCTGAATAGATTCTAGGTTGCTAACATAGGTGTTGTGCCCATGTGTTCTTACCTACTGTATTCGTAAGATAATTTTATCATTTCGTGCACTTAATAATGCGAGGAGGTTAGTAGTGTCACACTTCTTTCTAAAGATGAGAAACAAGAGAATTGGTTAAGTTAGATAACTTGCCTAAATTCATTCAATTCATCTGAGTGGGATTTGAATTAAACTAAGCCAGTGTGATTTTAAAACCTGACCACTTTTCAAAGCAGCCTCCAGCAGGCTGTGCAAGAACAAGTAAAAGCTTTCTTTCTTAGGAACCATGGCCCTGCCTGAATATGATTGGCCTTAAAATTCCTGTTTGTTTTGAGGGGTTTTCCCCCCTTTTTTTTTTTTTCCTCCTTGTAATTCTTCCATATGCTCTATCCAAGAGCTTCATGCCTTTCCAACTTCTTTCTTTCTTTTTCTCCTTCCTTTTTTTCCTCCTTCCTCACTTCCCTTCTCTCCTCTCCTCTTTTCTCCTCTTCTGGTCTAGCAAATTCCTACTCATGCTTTCTTGTTACCTTTCCGAGACGAGTCTTTCCTGAATCCACAGAGAAGGATATATTTTCCTCTTATATGCTTCAGGACCTTCTTTGATCTTGCATCAGAATACACATCAGCCTCGTCATGATTTCTTGTCCAATACCTCTCTGCCCCATTAGGTTCCAAGCTGCATGAGGGCAATGACAAGATTTTTCTTTTTCACCTCTGTAGGTCCTGGCAGATAGTAGCCAGATGATAGCAGTGACTGTTTGGTAAATAAATGAATGTCTGATCATGCACTATTAGTTGCATTATCACAAATTGTAGTCTTGTATATATGTGCGAAGTCTATTCATTTATTTTCTTTCATCTTCATGAACTGTAAGCTCCATGAAGACAAAGATTAGGTATGTCTTTCACCTAGTATTTTTAGCACTTAATAGAGTCCTTGATACATAATAAAATTTCAATAAATAATGAATGAATTATATTCCAGGAAAAAAAGAAACTATAATCATCACTTATACTGTTACCTACATTCTTGCTACACCAAACAGTCTTCAATTGTTCCTTGATAAAAGCACAGGGATTTTTATATCATCAGACTTGGGTTCTCATTGCAATCTAGCCACTAACTAGATGTGAACGTAGATTTTAGACTTTTTGCCAATAACTGGCACAATAATTCACTTTTCTGTATCTACCCCCTGAGTCATCTTCTCCCACATTCACTCTGGACTTGGCCATCTGACTTGCCTTGGCCAATGGGACCAGAACAAACGGAATATAAGCAGAAACCTGGAAAAGGCCAAAGTGTTGCGATTTCCCTTCTCTCGCTGCACGGGAAGCCCAAACCCACCCTGTCAATGGGCCAGGCTGGCCTGCGGGATGATGAGAAGCCACACAGAAGAGGGCGGAGGCACCTGGCTGATATTTTGCCAACCAGCAGACACATGAGCATGACAATTCTGGATCATCCAGCTGCCCACCAACCCACCTGCACAGACCAGGCGATCGGGTCCTGTCATGGGCTGAACTGCGTCTTCCCAAAATTCATATGCTAAAGTCCTAACCCCCAGTGCTCCAGAATGCTGTCTTATTTGGAGATAGTGTCTTTACAGAGGTAGTCAACTTAAAATATGCTCATTAGAGAGGACTGAAATCCAGTGTGCCTGCTGTTCTAATGAGAAGGGGGAATGTGGACACAGACACAGGGAGGATGCCGTGTGAAAAGGAAGACGGCCATCCACACACCCAGGAGAAAGGCCTGGAACAGAGCCCCCCCTTAGTGCCCCCAGAAGGAACCAACCCTGCCAACACCTTGACTTCAGACTTCTAATGTCCAGAACCATGTGACAATATGTTTCTGTTGTTCTGGCACCCAGAGTGTGATATTTTGTTATGAAAACTCTAGAAAATTAATACAGGTCCAGACCAAAATAACTGACCAAGTGACACACACAATAGTGGACTAAATGAAATAGTTCTTGCTTTAAGCCCCTAATGCAGCAAAAGCTCATTAATAAAGTGGGTAAACTGCTTCAATCTCTCTAGGCTTTGGTTTTCACAATTACAAAATGGGATTAAACATATTTTCCTCTCATGGTTATTAGTAAGATTAAGTAGGATAATGTTTGCAAGTTGCTTAGCACAGTACCTGACACAATTAATATTCAATGAGTGCTTCTGCATTTGAATTTATTTTAAATAATCCTGTAGTTTATTATGGAATTCAATGTAAATTTATATAAAACTAGAATATCAAACACCCAGAAGAGGCCAACAGGCACTTGGCAAAGCCAGTTTAAATGGACCCAGATTAAGGCAGAAAGAAATTAAAATATATTGAGCACCTAATATGTACCCCAAACATTGCTGTATGCCTTTATTTATAGTATTTTATTCATTTATTGGAATTTTTATAAAATATAAATATTATTATTCCTTAATCATAATTGAGGAAATATTGTTTCCTCAATTAAGAAATATTATTATCCTCAATTATTCCTCAATTTTTTGGAATGTTTCTAAAATATAAATACTATTATCACTCAAACTGCTTGAAAAATAAACTGCAATGTGTCTAAGATCCCACAGCTAGTAATTAATACAGCAAGAATAAAAGGCATGCATTTCTCCTCTCAGTCCCCACATTCTTTCCCTAACACCAGAGGGATTTGGTCCATGTGCCTGGGGTGGTCTTAGAAAGCCATTACAACATCACCAAAAGATAATTAATTCCCGATATGCATGTGACTAGCAAAACCTACCTTCCATGGTCTAATGTTGCCCAGCTCAAATGTTGCCCATCTCTTATACTGTGTTCTGGTCATTGTCAAGTGCCACATAAGGTCACCATGTGTCTTTAAGGACACTCTTTGGGTTGGAAGAGCTCATCCTCCCAGGGTTTCATTTATTGCACTACAACTCAAGAAGAGGAAGTCCTGCCTGCCCTCAGGTCAGACCTCCCCAGGTCTGTGGCTGCATTTTACAGGAAACCAAACCTAAAGATCTACGAGGAGGTTTTCTGCTGAAGAACACTGCTTAGCACTGAGGACAATTCAACTGACCGCCTTACAGACTACCAGCTCCCTGATTTCTCTGTGATGTCGCCCTACCTCACAAGAGACAGCCATCTCAGCCAGGAGCCTTTGATGCCCTCCACGTTGTTCAGGTAAACTGTGGAGTCTAGCTCCATCTGAGTGGGCATCTCATGGTCATCTCGCTGTTATAAATGATCTTTAGCAAAGAGCTACACACCAAGCAAAAAGCATTTTCCTAACGTGGAGTGCTGGACTTCTACATAGCAACAAAGGAGCAAAAAGAAAGCCAACTCCCTTGACTCAATTTTTAATGATTCTTTCATTCTGCTGGGAGAAGGAATCAAGATACCTACCCATAAGAAATGAAAAGGCTAAATGTTTTCAATCGTCTCTTCCTGACGCTTGAGCTCCCTGACTCTTTGCTATAAAGATCTCAAGAGTAGACCGGTTGCTGGCTTCTTGGCTGACCTTCAGCTGCACAGCCCCTTAGAAAGGCAGCCTCAATTCAATGTAGGTCATTCAAAGTAGACATTAACTCTTAGAGCCTCTTCTAAATACATTTTTAAAACTTTCTAAATTAATACGGCTTTCTTTCTGTTATGGTGTAAAGGAGATGGGGGCTTTGGAATCATGCAGACCTTCTTACACTCACAGAGGCCAGAAGCCCAAGAGTGAGGTTAAAGTTGGGATAAATGCTTATTCTTGAATGGTGCCAGGAGGAGTCTCTTCCAGGTTTTTCAAGGATAGAACAAATAATATACTGGAGTGAGACAGAAAAGAGAGCTAAGTGTCATCAAAATCCAGATATTTTGATTTTAAAAGATATTGATGTGTCTGGGCTTTATCAATGACCACTTTATTGTTGTGCACCCACGTTAACCTACCTATCTGGCTATGTCTCTTTGTCTACACTGTGGCCCAGCCCCTCCATGGGGTTGTTCTTGGGCTTCCCAGGAGCCACCTAAATCACAGGGAGAAGTCATTTCAGAGATCAGGACAACAATGATAGGTCCAGCTAGGTGCAAGCCTACCAGAGAAATGACCAAGCTTCAGAAATTCTCTGAGAATCTTAAGATAAAATATGTCCTAGAGAGGCAGGAAGGGCGATTGGTATTTATTTAACTGTGTTTCTTGCCAGTTCATCGACGTGCATTAACTCACTTAATCCTTACAGTCTTGAGAGTTGAGTATTACTTCCCTCGGTTTACAAATGAGGAACTTGAGTGGTCAAAGTACCATGTTCAAGGTTGCCCGTCACTAATGTCAGTAATGTCTAAACTAAACTGATTTTCACCCGAGCCTGACTGATGTGATGGTGAGCAGCGTGTGTTTGCAGCTTCGTACAGCTTATGCGGGAATCCATTCCTAGTTGGTTTCTGACACCAGCCATCTTAATGGTGGCATTTCTTTCTTCTCTCCATGGAGTCCTCTCAGATGACTCCGTCAACAAGACCACTCTAAAACCAAAGCTGGTAATTTTCTGTACCATCGGGCCAGCTCTGACCTTAACACCTGGGGATTCGTTTCTTGCTCACTTTGCCCTGAGGCAAGAGTTTTCTTAGAAAGACTGGAGGATTTGATGCTGTCCAAGTTGGTCAGGATTGTAACTCTGTCACCCGGACCAGGCATGATCCTTTATCTCTGGTCTTCAGTTCCCACATCTGTGTAATGGAGCAAGATCACATGAGGCTTGTAGTGACAATTCTTTGGCCTCAATAATATGATATTTTATTAAATGAAATATGGTGTGCCCTTAACACTTAGTAGGTATTCAACGAATCTTGGCTCTTTCTCCATTACTTTCCTCTCCTCACCCCAAATAAGCTCTGACTTTATTCATAAAACATGCCTATAATCACCCTAGAATTTATAAATACACATAAATCTATGAATATTGATTTTTAATAATCTTATTAGATAATAATATACCACCATGTATAACCTTGTACAGTCTATAAGACCTTTGGATACAATGTTCTTCTTTAATGATCTTAACAATTTAACAAAGTAGGCAGGGAATAGATGAGAGCATTTAAAAAATGTTGAAACTGAGGCTCAGGGAAGTTGATGAGGATGAGCAACAGGGCTTTGAGATTAGTCAACACTGGATATGAACCTAGTGTGTGACTTCATTGTGTGTCTTTAGGTAAGTGGCTTAAACCTTCTGATCTTCAATTGGCTGTTGTTGGTGTGTAACTTGAAGCTGGGTAGAATATATATTTTTGGGTTGCTGCGAGAATAAGAGTGAATGCACAAACAGTGTCTGACACTCAGTAAATGAATAAATGGCAGCTGTACAACACTGTACCCAAGGTCATGTGGTAAATAGCAGCACTAGATCTGGAAGTATCCTTTTCTGAATCCCAATACACAAAGCATCTACTATCAGAAGTATCTACCAAAAAAAGAAAAAAAAAGAAGTATCTACCAAGATCTGAGTTCTAGAGAGTTCTTCCAGGCTATATCTACCTCTCCTAGCATGAGAGAGACATAGAATGTTCCAATTATTAATACAGAGATGAGTACTTGAATCTAAATTATATTTAAGATTTTTAACAGATTGAACCAAACTGTTCAGTGATTTTGCAAAATAAGTTACCAATATAACTGAGAAGCATCAGGTTAGATAGATATCAGCAACTTAATAAAGAAAAAATAACCACAAAATATAGAATTGTGGAAAAGAGCTATCATAGGACTATTTTATTTTGGTGTTTTCTATTTCTGTTACTTTTGTGGGCAGAATACTTTGGGAATTATAATTAGGATTATTCTGCTTAATTTTAATCATATCCTCTAAATAGTAATGACTTGTAGATTGCCATTTGAGTGCCTGCTGGCAGGCAATAAATGCTGATTGTTTCTCATCTTTTAGTAAATGTGCTTATTCTTACTTTATAGAAGAGGATGCTGAGGTTCAGAGAGACTCCATACACTGTCCATTCCACGCAGTGAATGGGAGTATAAGCTAGAAATGAGACCCAGGTCTGCCTGAGTCCCACGTTCCTGCTCTTTGCAGAGTGCTCCATCAGTGCCCTGCTGCATGTGTTCAGAATCATGACCATAGTGACAATCATCACTTTATTTCAACCTAGCCAATAGTGTTTTTGGACTCCCAGATATACCATAAGTGTTAGCAAAATATGTATGTGAGTTTGTTTGTTTGTTTTTTAATTTCATTGTTGATGCTAATTGAAACATTGCTTCCCAAACACGCATGCATGAGAAACCAAATCCCTCTGTGTTTAAATGGTGCCGTGCTTTGCCAGGTGAACTGACATGAGCCAAAAGGAGTGGAAACAACCCACAAATTTAAAAGCCATGTATTTGGTTCATGATATTTTAATTGTGCTAAGTTATCTGTTGAATTTTGCGTGAGATAATGATGAGGGCTGGCTGTCAACCCTCTGAAAGGCTTGAACCTTTGTAATGTGCCAAGCGAACCACATTCTGCCATCAGCTTTGCAGATTCAGAAGGCCAGTGTCATCCAAGATACCCAGAGTTGGTGAGGCTCAGGGAGTCGTCCCACTCTAGTATCCTGGCCCATGCATCCCCCTTTTGTGATTTTGCTCCAGTGTACTCAACTTGTAAGTTCAGGTAATCAGCACGTTCCCTCCCAGGAGGTAAATGTACACAGGAAAGTAAATTACTGTTGGGAGGCAGCTTTGTTAGCACAAAGTCAGAGCTGTGCAATTACAGGAGCTGAATTTGCTGAGCTTGGGATGATCCGATGCCTTGATAGGCACCTGGGACCCAGTGGGCCCTATGTCTACTCACAGACATTTATAGACCAGGTCACCCTCACTTGTAGGCAAGCCTGGGGATCTCTTGATCAACTCTATCTCTCTGGGCATTCCACATAGAGCATCTCTAGGTTCCCTTCCCTCCCCAAACCCCTACTTCTGTGTCAAGCTTTTCAACGACACTACACCATCCAGTCTTTGAGAAATGGACAGCCTGGGTTTAACATCAGACTGATACTTCGTAGCAGTACAGTTTTAAGCAAGGTATTTAACTTTTCAGAACCTCTGTTTATCATTTTAAAAATAAAATTAAAATACCTACTGTTTGGATTTGTGGTGAGAAATGAGATTCAGTACATAGAAATTGCATATTATAGTGTCTAGCAATTATTAAGTGCAAAGTAAATGACAGTGGCTATTATTATCACTGTTAGCATTATTGTGAGTTTATCTTATATATTCAGACAAATCATTAGATTCTTGGACTTTTTCCCCTTCTTAATAATTTTGACCTAAAGAAGTTCTATTTTAAGATGATTTCCACTGAAAGCTAACCTCATTCTATTCTTATTTATTTTTATCATTCACCTATCAAAGCCTGTGGATTTTACACAGGTATTTTACAAATCCTCAAATGTGCCAATCCTCTGAAAATATTAAGATTTAATGAAAAATGATAGAAATTTCTTTAGAACTCTTTCCTTGCTGATTTCAAATCCTCAGGGTCCTTCATGGTACTGTTACATAGAAATTACTTAATAATGATCTGGTGAACTATACTCCATGACAGTTTATAGTTTACAAAGTACTTGCACTTTCATGACCTCATTTGGTCTCCACAATAATCCTCTGAGCAAATAGGGTGAGCACTCCCCATTTTGCAGATTGGAGAAATGGGGACCCAAGTTGCACAGTTCAGCACACATGGGCTGAGAGACTCACCTCACATCACGCTAGATGAGTGATCCTGAACGAAAGGCGAGACAGAGAAAGAGTTAATTATACAGGGGGAGTTTAATTCAGGAGTGAAGTTCTAAATGTACTTGAAGTTATAAACGAACCGATGACCTCATCTGGATCCACGCTGTGCGTTCGTTCACTAGACAGATTTGGCACAGGAGGACTCTCCCTGCACAAAGTGACAGAATCGTTCAATATTGAAAAATCTGGGTCATTTGGACTATTGCCGTACAATGGGATCTAAATTAAACAGTATGCCCTACATAGGGTTCTGGTACGCAGTAAATGGTATCATTATTATTATAAGTTATATTACTCTTTGTCTGGTCTTGATTAGACTACCTGGGCTCTTGTGTTCCTCCTTTGGATTTTAAGTTTCTCTCAAACCTCTTTACAGCTCTTCTTATCACGAAAATCATGAGTATAC